CAGATACATTAGATCACATGTTAAATTACAGTCAGCAAAATTGACGTATACTAGTGTTATAATTGCCGTAGAAGTTTATTCACAAATTTGGTAATATTTACAATTTGAAAATTGGAATATGTACCATTGTATATTAAAAAACTGAAAATTCATTAAAAAGTTCACACTCATTCATCTGTTTACAGTAACTTTTGATATTCACAACATCTTCACATCTTCATTTCAACAACTTTTGCAGTTTTTTCTTCAAAAACTTTCTGACTTTTGAGGATGAATTTTGGAATTTTTCCGATACTTGCATTTTGTGATTTAGAGTTAATTGAAACATTTGTTTGTTCATTGTTTTTAGCAATTGGTTGACGCTAACATTCGTTTGCCGAGATTTCTCATTATGATGCAGTAGATACTTGCTGTAATTTGCTGGTTGGTCGAGGTATGTTTGGCATTCTTGGACATAGTAGAACTTGTTTGGTAAGGTTATTTCAACGTGTCCCAATTCTTCATTTGAAATGATTGGGTTCTCGTTGTGAATCGTCGTATGAATCATCATTTTGTAGTCATTCCATTTTTCAGGGAGATGGAATGAAATGCTTTCGTTGAAGTGAGGATCAAATGTGTTGAATATTGTTTTTGTTCTGAACTTCTCAAGGACATGACCTTGCGTGTTTGTGAGTCGGACATGCACATAACTGTTGCATGAGTCAGTTGTCAGGGGGTTCAAATTCTGAGCACTGTTCACTTGTACAACAATCTTTTGACGACTCCTTTCAACTTTCAATTCAATCGATCCATAGCGTCGATCTTTGTCGTTAAGATTATTTCTGCTGTTGTGGGATGTTCCCGCATGTCTGCAGGTTGGCGAGAAGAGGATGGTATGGATTCCATCATCATCTCCATCATCTTCTTCCGCGTCATCCTCATCTTCCACGCCATCTTCTTCCGTTCCTCCTCCGTCTTCATCATCGTCATCAGATCTTCTGAGATGAAACAAAAATGATTCTTTCATTGTCACCGAACATAATGATGGAGAGGAGAAGCTTATTGCTCTGAGAGGTGATGATAACGATGATGATGACGTTTCATCGTGATAATCATCAACAACTTCGTCATCGTTTGTGCTTCCGGTTGATGTCATCAAATCATCATCAGGAAGTGACGATGTTGATTCAATGGATGAAAATGACGTCACTGATGTTGATGACGTCATAGACTTTCCATCATTTGATCCATATCCTGACGAGGCGGATTCCAACGAGGCCAATGATGAGGTACTCATTTTAAAATATTTGTGAGTATTTATTCTGAAAACGTGAACTATGTAAACTTTCTATCGATTCCAGTTGGTTAAACTTTAAAAATTCGAATACTTCTGGCACGCTCCCAATTACAAAACCCTGTTATGTACGTGTGAATGTAGTTAACACCTCCAGCACTTCCACATATATACTCCTCTTAAATTTCCTTTCTCCTAAGAAAGTACAGAACAATAAAAACAAGCAAACAGACAAACTCATCGTAACTAAACCTCAAATTATTTTATTGCAGCAGTGTTGAAACATTTTCGATAGTAATAAAACGTTTACTGGTCGTAAACGTATACATGCCGGCCTAACATTCTAACGATGCTTGGCATTGTTAGGAATCAACAGTTTATTGGGCACGCGTCTCCAACAGACTGAATTTATTAGTTTTCGTTTCTTGTTAGTAATCAGTAATTTCTTCTTAAGCACTGAATGTTCTAGGTTACTGTATTACATAAGTAATGTGACTCATTACTGTGAAGGAATTATTTGTATTGTAGTTGTAGTTTTAGTAATAGTAACATCTAGTGGTAGTAGTAGAAGTCGTAGTGGTGGCAGTAGTAGTGGTGGCAGTAGCCGCAGCTGTAGTACCAGTAGTAGCAGTGGCAACGGCAACAGTATAAGTAATAGTAGTAGTAGCAGCAGTAGTAGTAAGAGCAGTTGCAGTAGTGGTAATAATAGTCGGGGCCAATAAAAGTAATTAAATTATTGACATTAATTAAGGTAATTATAACAATGATCAGATAGACTGTAAACCTGACATGGAGAGTACAAAGAACGCGTGCCAATCTTAAAACAAGAGACATCGCTGACTGAATTATAATTATCATTAATTAGCATTAATTAGCATAATAATCATTAACTATAAATGATGATTGTTAGAAAGTCCTGTGCAAATAAACCTAGCTAACAACTTTTACAACTGCAGAAGGGTCGATTGAGAAATTTTGATTTAATTGTTATTATTCTTACGGATATACAAAAATTATTTTATCATCATTATAATTTATTATGATAGAAATTGGCATTTATGATAATAATAATGATAAAAATAATAGAAGTAATAATAATAATACGAATACTATTAATAATAACAATATATTATAATTATAATATAATTTCATAGTTTCCAATATTTTAAGGCAATTTTGACAAAATTTCTTTCTTTGTTTTATTTTTTTAATACGTGGAAGTTTAATATGTCCTGACCTATACTATAACTGATAACAGATAACTATACAACACACATCGTATACAATTATTATTATACAAACATATTTTTCTTTAAATTACTGAGTATGTGATCATAATTTGTTTATGTTCTATATTGCTTATGACATTGTCAGCAATCAGGGAGAGGCCTGGTTAGAGATTTCTAATTGTAGTAATTGAGGAGCGTGTTTGCAGTGAGTTGACTGCAAAGTTAAGATATATATTCCATTAAAATGGGTGTCGTGTGTACGTATTTGCGTGTATGATTGGATGTTCTACCCATATTAATATAATCGATGGGTTTCTCATTTTGAAACTGTTGTTTGCTCTAAATTATAATCTTTCATATGGTGAAAAACATAATGTACCGACCGTTATAAAAATTTAGATGTTTTTAAAAACTCATTTAATTCATTATTTCTTAAAAAATGTTAATTGAAATTTAACGGGTGTAGATTACTGAATTACAGAAATATTTTAGATTTGAAGATTATATTTGAACAACACCATGATTAAAATTAAGTTTACCGATACTTAATTTTTTTAAATCCGGTAAATACGAAACAACGGGACCATATAGTGTTTAGATCATCTGATTCAACGTGCTTTAGAAAGGTTGTTGTAACACAAAAAAATGAGCATGAAAGATATATTTAAAAGATATAATTAAAATATGTTGATATACAAATCAGATTATGTACAATTCAAAAAAACCGTAATGTACAGTCTAAAAAATCAGATTATGTACAATTAAAAAAGTCCTTAAAAACAAGGATCAACATTGATTTCCATCATTGATTCAACCCCTTAAGAACATCTCCATCAAGTTATTTACGAATGCGCTTCAACAACTTTTGCATTTTCTTCCTCAAAAACTTTCTGATTTTCGAGGCACCAGATGATTTTTTGATTTTTCCCGGTGCTTGCGTCATGTGATTGTGAGCTAATTGAGACATATACAACTGCATGTTCCTCTGACCTTCCATCATATCATTAACATTAATCTTCGTTTGTTGTCCATTTTTGTGCTGAAGCATATACTTGCTGTAATTTGCTGGACGGTCGAGATATGTTTGGCATTCTTGGACATAGTAGAGCTTATTTGGTAAGGTTATTTCGACGTGTCCCAATTCTTCATCTGAAATGATTGGGTTCTCGTTGTAAATCGTTGTGTGAATCATCATTTTGTAGTCATTCCATTGTTCAGGGAGATGGAATGAAATGCTTTCGTTAAAGTGAGGATCAAATGTGTTGAATATTGTTTTTGTTCTGCACTTCTCAAGGACATGACGTTGCGTGTTTGTGAGGCGGACATGCACATAACTGTTGCATGAGTCAGTTGTCAGAGGGTTCAAATTCTGAGCACTGTTCACTTGTACAACAATCTTTTGACGACTCTTTTCAACTTTCAATTCAATCGATCCATAGCGTCGATCTTTGTCGTTAAGATTATTTCTTCTGTTGTGGGATGTTCTCACATGTCTGCAGGTTGGCGAGAAGAGGATGGTATGTATTACATCATCATCTCCATCATCTTCTTCCGCGTCATCCTCATCTTCCACGCCATCTTCTTCCTCTTCTCCTCCATCTTCCTCATCGTCATGAGAACTTCTGAGATGAAACAAAAATGATTCTCTCATTGTCACCGAACATAATGATGGAGAGGAGAAGCTTATTGCTCTGAGAGGTGATGATAACGATGATGATGACGTTTCATCGTGATAATCATCAACAACTTCGTCATCGTTTGTGCTTCCGGTTGATGTCATCAAATCATCATCAGGAAGTGACGATGTTGATTCAATGGATGAAAATGACGTCACTGATGTTGATGACGTCACAGACTTTCCATCATTTGATCCATATCCTGACGATGCGGATTTCAATGATGACGTTGAAACTCTGCTCATTTTGCTGCTGTTTAGTTGTTTTCGTTGAATTTTGGGATATCAAATGTTGTTGCTGGTTTTGTGTTGAATACCGATTGACGTTTTAACGCATCATTACCAGTGTTTATATATTCCTTCAATTGGCCAACAAAGTGATTTATTGCAAAGTGAGTAACGGTGATTGATAGAAATTTATCGATGGTTAATATTGGGCATGTCTCAATAAAGCTCTCTAATTAGCATCGACTTTGTTTCTTATCGATGATCATTCTAACAATCTTATAACATGTTCATGCTGGTTTGCATATGTTTGATGTGGCACGCGCTCTCAACACTAATGTATTCAAATTGCTTATTTGACCGAAATTATAACTAGTCACATTTCCTTTGTTGGCAAGCTTTCAAACTTTTTTTTATCGAAGTTTTTTTTTTTTCACAATTTCTTGAAAGTTTTTGAACTCTCAAGTTTCTTTTTAACAATTAGTTATTTTAATTTAAAGACTTGTTTTCCGTGAAAAAAAATTTGATTTATTATTTCCGATTGGCTTAGCATATTTACCAAAACAAACACCTCAGTAAAAAGCATCTTAAACAGACCTAACACTCGTCTAATGTTCAATCTCTTTGTCTACATAAAATTTGAGTTGTTATTAATAATTTTTTAGTTATAATAATTTTTACCGAACAATATTGTTATAATTAATAATAATTTTTTTTTTTTTTTTGATAATATGCGGTGTTTTGTAGATTTGTGATGTTATTCAACTTTTAGGTAAGTAATGCGAACTACTTATTAAGATGTTAGAAATAATTAAGATGTTCCCAACCAGCATTCAACCGTTCAATCGTAGAACCTCACTCTTTCATTCATACCGATTTGGTCGAACCTTACCTTTCCATTCCATACAGATTTGTGGCCTCTTTTCTTACACATTGGTTAAAATCTCAAACTATCCGAGTAACTCAAACTTCCTACCGTGTTTTACATCAAAAAATTTATTCCCATGGTTGTTTCAATAAGACGATTCGAAGTATAAAAAGTTAAATTATTTATTAATTTAATGAGTGTATGTCAGAGAGATTATTTCATTTTTAATTACATTTTAAAAAATTCTATTCAAACAACTGCAATTAAATGATATATGACTGGTGATAACAAAAAGTATTCTTACTAGTTAGTGAGATATTTGGGTGTATATTTCGTTTCAGTTGTTAATTGTAAAGATCTTAATTTGTTTCATTGTACAAATACTTTTTTTTCTCAGTAATGCAGTTCTAACAAATACAGAACTACTTTCAGATTATTTTTCGTTCGTCTTTCCATCAGCCAGAGCTTGATCTAGATCAGCAAGCAACATCAGTGTTGGTTCCAGCACTCCTACCAACAGTGTTAACTCGTCGTACTAACTTTGGAGTTCTGACATTACAAATACTGTTGCAAGCAATGTAGCGTGCAATACATATTATTATCTCTGTGTATAGATTTAGAATAAATTTACAAATAATTATATAGAAAAACAAATACTACATTATGCCTCGTTATGAACAATGTCAGTCAAGAAGATAATGCATCGCATTGTACTTCTTGCTAAGTCGATATGTCGAAATGAATGGATTCGAAATTTTTTTTGTTCGATGATGATTATTTTTTTTTTTGTTATTCACATTTATACTTAAATCACAACATCAACATTAAAACAAAAATAATACTGAGTATTATTAAAAATATTTTCTATTTGTTGACATTCGTGAGTACGAGGATGAATAGGAAGCTAATGTTCCAAATGAGCGCATTGGTTCACAAATACAGACAAACATACATACATACATACATATGGACATCACACGCATTACAATAGTATGTATAAAGGCTATTACATTTTTTTGTTATTAACTCAAAAATTTTCAATACGATAAATACGAGTATCGATTCACAGGCATGCAAGTGTACATTGACACGCACTATTTCTTCAGAGTAACACGCAGTATTTCTTCGTGGTAGCAACGTTGAAATGAATTTTTTAAAACTTGTCAACGTTTTCCTTGGTCAGATGTTAGCGCTGGATCTAATCATCCAAATAACTCTCCTTCCGTTATCATCATTCTCCTCACCATCGTTGTTGAACTCTTTGGTGCCAGTACTGAACTTCTCCAACTTAACTTCATGTTTCCAGAGCCTCCGGATGAATTCAACAACACCACCCACCACCAATCTGAAGAACCCCAACGATGTTAGTTTGTGCTCAATAGAGGAACCAACTGCATCATCAGGAATGGATCTATATTCCTTGGATGGTCAATCCGATGATCAGATACCGAAATTCTTGATCTTATGTGCAGCTCTCTGTCGGTATAAACTGCCGGGTCAGGCTGCCTGTCAAGGGTTCAATGTTCGATTTGATTCAGGGATGTGCGAGTTGTATCGATTCCAATCGGTTTATTTTGCACAACAGTTCGGATGTGTTTATCACGCGGTTGGGTGTGATTTTCGCTACTAATAGAATTTTAAAAAATTTAATGATTTTTGTTTAAATTTATATTTTTAAAATTTATTGACTTTTAAATTCTAATAACAGTTGAAACCAGTAAATAGAAAAGGCATCGTTGTAACACCAGTATATCCCTACCAACAGTTGCTCAACAAACCACGTACGTATATGCCAACTTCATGATTTTCACTACACCGCAAATAACATGTATATTTAATTAAAAATGTATTTATTTCAATTATTGATTGAAGAACGTTTCTTATCATGTTTAACATATAACTTCTAACTGTATTAAATATATTTCTTATTTTATTTAAAGTAAAAAATTTAATTAATGATAAACCTTAAAATACTTAAGATTATGATTAAATTGATTTGAACAAAAACTTGAAGTTCGGAAACTTTTAATCTCCTATATTTCTAAATGTGATATAACTTACTATTCAGCTCCACCTAAAAACAAACCAACACCAACTTTCACCTTTCTGGTTCAAATAAAACTCAAGCCAGACTCAACTGCCTTCAACAAATCTTGGTCTCAGTTCAAAGTCGGTTTTTCGGATCCAAGTTTGTCGGTATCATCGAGCAACACTTCGGATAATAACGATTCCGGGGTTAAGGATAAAATGAGTGTCAGATTTTGCGGTACTACATCTTGGGATGCCTATTGGATAGGTAATGAGTTATTGTACCAGCTGACGAACAAATATACATGCAGCCTCCATGTTTATCTCTCCGTCAACGATTGTGAGTTCAGTTTAATAATTTTATTTGTTTTTACGGATGTTTGTTTGTGTTCATTCGTCTTCATTGCATTTTGATGGCGGTGAATAGTAAAGTCTTACCAACCGGCAAACTTCTAGGGCCTGTAATTTTGCAAATGTTTTTCGCTTCCAGTTGGCGCATTCTCAATTGTTTCTTTTGCAAAGCATTTATTAGAACAACTGCATTTAATAAGAAATATTTTGTTATTCCTAAACCATCCAATTTAAAAAATGGTCTACAAACAATTCCGAAAATTGAAAATTAAAAAAGCATAACGTGCTGTAACCGTTTTCGGAGTAATGCAAAAACACGATGAAATGTAAACACGCTAAAATGCAACATAAAATACAACTTTTTTGACATGCAAAGATGGTGTAAAGAAAACAGAAAATATTTACGTTATTTTTAGAAAATTCGGTACAAAAAATAAGTTATATCATAAGATTAATAAATCTTCCATTCAAAACATAAAAAATTATTGTTCCTCAACAATATTACTAGCACAAAACTAAATTCAACACGACTAACATTAACGTTTTCACATCAAACAAGCTGGAAGAGAGGAACTTTACTATTCACATTACGACCGCATGGTTGTCGGGGGGCAGACTGTTAACTACCAATTGATCACTTTGAACTACTTCGGTGGAAATCTGAGCACAGCTACTGGTCTCTCGTCCAGGGAGGGGAGGTACTTCTCGACGTATGACGATGACAACGATCCAGACTCCAATGTTAACTGTGCTCTCGCCTACGCAGCAGGTCTAATTTGAATAATAATAATTTGCTCAGTTTATGTATTGTACTTGTGAGATGATAAGCAAATGAAAAAAGTTTATTTAAATTACTATTTTTTCTTTTCCCCTTGCAAACAGGATGGTGGTATCACCCATCAGTTACAATTTACGGATCGTGCGGTTTTACAAATTTTAACACCCAGTACCCAAACTTTCTGACGTACTTAAATGGCGAATCCTTTCAGCTGTTCAGCTCGCAAATGTGGATACAATGCATTTAAATGTCTACAATACTTTTTCCACATTTCCACGTGTTGAAAATTCGCATTTTGCTTTTTTTGAAATGAATAACAACATTGATTTATTCTAGATTTAAATATAAAATAACATTAACAAAGTTTATTTATCTTAGATTTAGATGATGTGATGTGGATGATGACCGTGATATCGGTTTGGTTATAGTGGAAATGCGATGAATTTTATAATGATAATTTATCAATTTGAACCACAATCAACAATAACAAACTAACTGTTTGCTAAGCGCTTTGCCTTTTTATAATGGCTACAACATTTTACGAAAGTCCCATAACGCCACAAAGATATGGTGGCCCACAAAGATATGGTGGCCCATTATTATTTTAATTATTTTTACTCTCCCGATTATATGTGTGTATAATAGATATTTTTATATTTGCGACCTATTTTTGCTTATTAAAAATTTTTTGTAATGAAAAAACTTAATTTGTAGCATAAATTTTTTGTGCTAAATCTATCATTTGGTGATAATTATAATTTTTCATAAGGATGCCAAGTCATCTTTATGTTCCAACCATAATACAAGGTTTAATGTTACGAGCAGCGTGCTTGAATTTACTTTAAATTCACCACTTTTTTAATTTTTATAAATTATTTAACTAATTATTTTGTCAAAATTATATTATTTAAAAAATTAAAAAAAAGTTGTTAAAAATATTTAAACATTTAATCTTTTGAAAATTTTTCTTTGATCAAAGCGACAGCTCTTGAATTCAATTTAACGATAACTCAATTTTAAATCTGATTATAACGGAACGACCAGAACACGATGTTCAGAGGTCAAACCATCTGATCACAAGTGCAATCTACCAAATTTCACAATACCAAGTGCCAAAAAACAAGAGCGTTCAAAGTTAAGGCGTATATTTACAACACAAAAATATCGATTAGTATATACAATTTCAAAAATCAGATTATGTGCAATTTTAAAAATTGGAAATAAATTAAACTAATTTTTCAAATTAAAGAAGTAATAAAAACTATCAACATCATTCAACCACTAAG